CCCCCCCCCCCGGGAATTTGCATTAGGGGTCTTTGCACTGAATTACATCCCCAGGCTCTAACATTTTTTTATTTTGAGACAAGGTCTTGTTAAATTGGTAAGTTACCCAGGCTAGTCTCCATCTTGAGATCTTCCTGCCTCAGCCTCCTAGACTGCTGAGATTACAGGTGTGGCTCATTGTTTAATTATACTATTCAATCAGAACACTCAATTACAAGGGCTCAAATTGATTTCTCCAGTAATTTACTTATTCTTTTTTTTGCTTTTTAAGACACGGTCTTAAGGGCCGGGGATTTAGCTCAGTGGTTCCGCCACCTGCCTCACAAACGCAAGGACCCGAGTTCGATCCCCGATACCAAAAAAAAAAAAAAAGACATGGTCTTCCTATGTAGGCTGGCTTCGAACTCATGGCGATCCACCTGCCTCAGCCTCCCAAGTGCTGGGATTACAGGTGTGTGCCGCCATGCTCACCTTCTTCAGTAATTTAATTATATTTATGTAATTTGGATCGAGGCAGTAAAATTATGTCTCAAAGGGGGATGATGGAATAACATTTATATTGTGTAAAGTTTATGAACTTCCTTTATGGTTTTTTTCTTAGCTGCTTGTTCAGCTGACTTCCAAAGGGAAATCAACTGATTAAAAAAAGAAAAAAGGGAAGCTGGGTGAAGGAGTTCATGCTTGTAATCCATGCTACTTCAGTGGCTAAGGCAGGAGGATCACAAGTTCAGTGTCGCTTGGGTAACTTAGCAAGACCCTTTCTCAAAAGAAAAAGGGCTAAGGATGTTGCTTATTGGTAGAGTACTTGCCTAGCATGCATGAGGCCTGAGGTTCAGTCCCTAGCACTGAAAAAAATTATCCATAGATATCCAACCATTCTTTTCTTTTCTTTCTGGTTTTTGAGATGGGGTTTTGTTATGTTGTCCAGGCTGATCTTGAACTCCTGGGTACAAGGGATCCTTCTGCTTCAGCCTTCCAAGTAGCTGGGACTGTAGGCACCTGTATGCCATTGTACCTGGCTTGATTTCACTTTGTTGTCTATCTTTTTTTATATATATATATCTTTTTTCTAGGCAAATATCTTATAGTACCTATGACTTTTATAATTTTTGTTTTTGTAAATGTATTTTAGGTACTGTAAAATTTTTTCTAAAACATTTTTAATGGCCTTAGAGAGTTGTCGCATTTGAATGGAAATAAAATCTTTTTGTTTTGTTTTTGGTACTGTTGATTGAACTCAGGGACTGCCAAGCTACATCTTCAGCCCTTTAATTAAAAGTTTTGAGACACGATCTGGCCAAGTGGACCAAGCTGGCCTCAAACTTGTGATCCTCTTTTCTCAGTCGTCTGTGTGCCATCATACCTGGCCTACTTTACTGTATTTACTGTAATTTAATTAGGTTCCTGTTAGATACTGAGATTTTTTTCCAATGGTTTTCCTTTATAAATAACCATTTAGTGACATCCTTTTGGGTAAATTTTTGTTTCTGTAGTTACACATTTAGGATAAAGTTTTAGAAATGGAATGGTTGGGTTGAGGAACATGCATACTTTAAAAAGTTAAAGAATGCTGAGTATGGTGCTGCATGACTGCAGTCCCAGCACTCAGGAGCTGAGTGGGAGGATTGCTGCCAGTTCCAGGCCAGCCTGGGCTACATAGTGAGCTCAAGGCCAGCCTGAACTACACAGCAAGACGCTATCTCAAAACAAAACAAAAAAACAAGACAGAAACCTTTAAAAAAAGTTAAATAAATAATAGAAGACATATGCTGTTGATTTAATGAATGTGTTAGTTTACTTTGCCATCATTGTATAGAAATCTAGTTTACTTTTCAACTGATTTGGGGTTTTATTATATTTAAAAAAAATTTAATAGCTTTGGGGTCTAGTTATTATACTAAGTAGTTATACCCATTAATATAGTTTTTATTTTTTTATTTATTTTTTATTCTTTTGGTACTGGGGATCGAACTCGGGACCTTATGCTTAGTGAGGCAGGCGCCGGAACCACTGAGCTAAATCCCCAGCCCTATAGTTTTTATTTGTTTTGTTTTTTGTTTTTTGGTACTGGGGATCGAACTCGGGTCCTTGCGCTTGCGCAGCAGGTGACGAAACCACTGAGCTAGATCCCCGGCCCCCTGTAGTTTTTATTAATGTCCATTTAATTCTGGTTTTGTTTTGTTTTTGGTACCGGGGATCAAACTCAGGACCTGTGCTTTTGAGGCAGGTGGTGGAAACACTGAAACCACTGGAACCTGGCAGTGTCCATTTAATTCTAAATTATTCTTTTGGACAAACGTGACAATCTTTGTTGTCTTTTTCAGATTCCTCCTTCAGTACAGCCACCAACACAACAGCAAGCACTTGCTAAACCTGCAGGTCCCTCTGTGCAGGGGCCACCTCCTTTTGTACTTCAAAATCAGTATGAACCTGTCCAGCCCCACTGGTTTTACTGCAAGGAGGTAGAATACAAACAAGTATGGATGCCTTTCAGTGCACTGGACTCTTTGAATCTTGAAGAAGTCTATAATTCCGGTTAGTGCTGATCACGTTTTCATTCACATCTGATTTTACGAAGAGAAGGAGTGATGAGTATTTATGGCTTACTTTTGTAAATTTCAATTCTTTAAAATTTGTAGAACCCATCAGATTCTGTACTGTGTATTTATTTTATTTATGTATTTAGGTACTAGGAATTGAACTTGGGACCTTGCATTTCTGAGGCAGGCAGCAGAACCACTGAGCTAAATGCCTGGATTCTGTACTCTTTAAAACAAGATGGTAGGGCTGGGGATTTAGCTCAGTGGTGCCTCACAAGTGCAAGGTCCTGAGTTCGATCCCTGGTACCAAAAAAAAGAGATGGTGGTACTAATGGAAATCCTGAGTTATCTGAACAAGGGGTTTGCAGAAATGGTTTAGTCATTTCCCGTGTTTTAAATCAGAGCAGTAGAGTAGTTCCTATACTCCAAGTTCCAATTGTATTCATTTGTAGTTTTGTAGTTATGGAGGCATTTACAACATTTTCTGTGGAACTCTGGATTCTGGAGATGTTTTATGAAAAAATATTCTGCAGTCATGAATAAGCATATTTGGGTATGTCACCAGGGATTGAACCCAGGGCCTTTACACTGAGCTATATCCCGATCCCTTTTTAAATTTTGAGAACAAGGTCTCGCTAAATTGCTAAGTTGCCCAGCCTGGGTGCAAAATTTGTGATCCTCTTGCCTCAGCCTCCCAGAGTCCTGGGATTAAAGATGTGTGCCCCCACACCTGGCTTATTTCCATTTCTTTCTTTTTTTTTTTTTTTTGGTACCGGGGATCGAACTCAGGTCCTTGCACTTGCACAGCAGGAGCCGGAACCACTGAGCTAAATCCCCGGCCCCCCATTTCTTGAGAGAGATGGTGTGTTAAGGTTCTGAGAAGTCTTGTACTATAGAAATACATTTGTTTCTTTGTCTTAATAGTATTTGATCATTGGACTTAAAATCTGTCAGTATTCTCTAGCAACATTCTTCATGGAACATTGCTGTATGTGGATATTACTACTATAATTTTAAAATATTCATGAGTTTTTGTTTTGTTTTTTTGGTACTGGGGATCGAACTCAGGTCCTTGCACTTGCGAGGCAGGTGGCAGAACCACTGAACTAAATCCCCAGCCCATGAGTTTTTTGAATTGTATTATGATCACGGCTCTAAAATTTGCTCTGGCTATTGCTTTTTCTCAAGAGTCAGCTTGATGTGGTGGTGGCATATGCCTGTAATCCCCACATTCTGGGAGGCTGAGGCAGGAGGGTTGCAGATTTGAGCCTGGCCCGAGCAGTTTAGTGACACACTTTTCCTTTTTTTTTTTTTGAGACAGGGTGTTATGATGTAGTTGAGGCTGGCCTTGAACTCACTCTGTAACTCAGGCTGGCCTCAAACTTGTGACAATCCTGCCTCAGCCTCCTCTGAGTGCTGTGATTACTACTCACATCAACACACGCAGCTTAGTAAGAACTTCTTTCATAATTAAAAAGGGCTGGGGATGTAGCTCAGTGGAAAGGTCCTGGGTTCAATCCCTAGTACTGAAAAAAAAGTTATGATTTTGAATAGCATAGGTTAATCTTAAACTTCTGTTTTTAAATACAAGTGAGCCTGGTTGTTAGTCATTAAGTATTGATTAGTCACAGTATTCTTATTTGTCATTTTTAAATAGGTCTTACATTGGTTGGGGAAATGTGGTCTTTGTTTTCTAGTCCAGCCAGACCCAGAGAGTGTGGTTCTCAGCACAGATGGAGGGCGATATGATGTCTACCTCTATGACCGAGTGAGGAAAGCAGTGTACTGGGAAGAGGAGCCAGCTGAAGTGAGGCGCTGTACTTGGTTTTACAAGGGGGACACAGACAGCAGATTCATTCCCTACACAGAGGACTTCAGTGAAAAACTAGAGGTATGAATGCCTCATTTATTTATCCCTTTCTTTTAAAAATGTAGGTCTAGTATGGATTGGAGTTTTATATGATGCCATACACTGTTGGAGCTGACTTTATTTACAAGACAGCTTGTTGTCATGCTCTTCCCAAAGATTACTTTTTTTTGAGATAGAGTCTCATAGTATAGCCCAGGTTGGCCTTGAACTTGTGATCCTCCTGCCTCAGCCTCTTAGGTGCTGGAATTACAGAAGTGCACTATTGCACTTGTCAAGAAGATTGCTTTTTAAGTGGTGCCAGGATTCACAAAATGCTGATCATAGTCTCTGTATCTAAAGACAGAATGTGCTTTTCAGGGACACATCATAGACCTGATAAAGTCTTTGCATAGAACTTTCAAAAGAATTTAGATTTTTAGATTTGATGTTGACAGTATACGCCAAGCATATAGACATTTTCAAATTAATTTTTTTTTTTTTTTGGTACCGGAGATCGAACTCGGGACCTTGTGCTTGCAAGGCAGGCAGTGAAACCACTGAGCTAAATTCCCTGCCCTTTCAAGTTAATTTTAGCAAGAGGTTGATTCATATTTTTTTTTTTTTTTTTTGGTACCAGGGATTGAACTCGGGATCTTCCGCTTGCAAGGCAGGCGGCTGAACCACTGAGCTAAATCCCCGGCCCTTAGCAAGTGGTTGAAGTAACCTCTGACTTGTGAAAATAAATTTAAAACAGAATAAGAAGAAATGTCAGCCCTGTTACTAATTTTTTAAAAAGACTTTGTAACAATTTATACTTGTCAATTAGCAAAAAACAAGTGGGTATGTATAATGGTTGTGTCATTGGTTTCCCTAGCTTCCTATTGAATCTCTTCCTAAGAGGCTCTCATCAGACTTCTACTTTACAGAAAGCAGAATGGTGTAGCTGAAAAAAGAGAAAAAGTAAGAAAATGGTGGGACAGTAAAGATTTTGGAGGCATAAAGTCCCAGGTGGGAGTGAACCACAGTTCTGCCGTTGCTTCACACCAGTTGTGTAATCTTCTGTAACTGTGTACAGTGCTTAAAATGTTTGTTATGGGTTGAACCATGTCCCTATCCCCACTCTGCCCATAATGTGTTGAAGTACTAACTCCTAGTACCTCAGAATGTGACCTTCTTTGGAAATAGAGTCATTGCAGGTTTAGTTACCTAAGGTGAGGTCATACTTGAGTAGGTAGACTCCAATCCAGTGGTGGCAAACCTATGGCACACGTGCTGCAGTGGGCTATTTGTAACATTGAAAGCTCTAAAAGGTTCACTATCACTGCTTAAATGTGGCTGACGACCTTGTAAGAAGATAGCCATATTAAGACCAGTAGGGAGAATGCCATGTGACAGTGGAGGCAAGGGTTGGAGTCATCCTGCAAGTGAAGGAATGCCAAAGGTTAAGGGCAACACCAGAGGGTAGAAAGAGGCAAGGAGGGTTTCCTTTCAGGCATCAGAGGGACCATTGCCCTACCGACTCCTTATTTTGGACTTCTTGCCTCCAGAACTGTAAGTTACTCAGTTCGTGGTACTTAGTGACATCAGTCCTACAAAACCAATACTCTGAACCTTGGCTTTCTTCTCTCTGTAATGGGGATAGGATTATTTAGGAGTGATTGAGAATAATTACTTAAATGAGGTAATGTATATAAGCTAATAAAAAGTATGGTTATCAGTAAATTAGAGCTGCTATTACTATTGGTTTTATCGCCATCATAGTTTTCATTTTTCTTTTTCTTTTTTTTCTTTTTGGTACTAGGGATCGAACTCAGGTCCTTGCGCTTGTGCAGCAGGCGGCAAAACCACTGAGCTAAATCCCTGGCCCTGGTTTTCATTTTTCTCTATACGTTTTCTTGATGTAATATAGATTTGTCAAACTGCATTATATGTTGTTTCCTTTGTTGTAGGTTGAATATAAAAAAGCTGTAACCACAAATCAGTGGCACCGAAGATTAGAGTTTCCAAGTGGAGAGACTATTGTTATGCACAATCCAAAGGTAATGGTACATTTGAAGATTTTAAAGTGTTAAGTACATTTTAAGAGTTACTTTGCTGTGTTTGATAAACATTCATTTTTAATAATTTCTACAGTTGGGATATATAATAAGAGCATTGCTTTTAAAATAGTTTACCGTAATTATCGATCATGGAAACAACACATCAGTCTGCTTTCTTGTCACCAGAATACAGTGCCTGACACCCACAATTTAAGGGAAGAGAGGTTTAGTTTAGCTCACAGATTCAGGGTACATAGTCTGATCAGCTGGCGCCAACACAGATGCATGGTGGTGGAGCAAAGATGCCTGTTTGTGGTGGCTGGGAAGCAGAGGAGGGAAATGGTACCAGAGAGGAGGGGGCCGGAGAGCACATATACCCACAGTCACACCTCCATGAGCCACCCAGACACAACCTGAAGTGTGCTTTACTAATCCCCTAGGCTCCCAGGCCAATCAAGTTGACACAGTTAAACTTAGCCACTACACAGAAACAAAATTTAAATTGTTCTAGTGAAGTTTCTGATTTGGGAATGTGTTAACTGAAGCTTGGTCTGCACCATAGAAGTAGCTTGATACATTTTTTTACTTGATTAGAAGTCACCCAGCTTTCTCTGTAAAGGACCAGAGAGTAAATAATTTAAGGCATGGGCAGCCATGTGGTCTTTTGCAGCCACCAACTCTGCCACTGTATTGTGAAAGCAGCCAGAAGAGAATATGTAAACCAGGAACTGTGATGTGGTCAATAAAACTTTATAAAAACGGGCAGTAGTGGGCCAGATTTGTCCTGCAGGTCATAATTTGCTGACCTGCCCTTGATGATGGCTGTTTTAACCTTTCAATACAGTTTATCCTTTTTCTTTTTACTTTAAACCATTCCCTACCCCTCCTCCCCTTCTCTCTTCGTTTTCCTTTCCCTCCTCTTATGGTACTGGGGATTGAATCCAGGGAGCTCCAAGCTACATCCTGGGCACTTTCTGCTTTATTTTGGAGCAGGGTTTGCCAAGTTGCCCAGGCTGGCCTCGAACTTGTGATCTTCCTGCTTCAGCCTCCTGAGTAGCTGGGACTGCAGGTGTGCGCCGTCATACTTGGCTTTCTTTTAATCTATTAGTGATATTTTAATTTATTCATTTACTATACATATTTTCTCTGAGTTCTAGGTTCTCACCTGTAGTAATATTTACCTCCCAGAGTCATATTTTAGGTGAAGTAATTTATCTATTATAGGCCTTGGCATAGTAGTTCCTCAGAACATAGGCTTTTATTTTACAGAAAAATACAAAAGAATACAAAAGTTACCCAGTCTAACATTTCTCTATTTTTAATGATACGGGAATAAAAATGCCAATAAAATTTAAACAGTATAAAAAGACATGAAATGAAAAAATAAAAGCTTCCTACTTTGTATTCTCCATCCATGACCACACCCTTAACTTTAAAAAAAAAAATACAAACATTTTGCATACCATCATGTTTATATTAATTTCTTTTTAAAGAAAATCTTCTGTGTGACGTAGGGATAAATGTAATCAGTTGTTTTAACTGAATAGATACCTTCCCAAAAAGCAAGTGGCAGGTTTTGGCATTCGATTTTTGTCATTGTGACTGAATTTGTAGCTGGGTATGATGGTGCACACCTATAATCCTGGGTGTTTGGCAGGCTGAGATAGGAGAATCCAAAACTCAAGAGTAGCCTGATGAACTTATTGAGACTCTATTTCAAAATTAAAAACAAAAAATGGAGGGTATGCGGGATGTAACTCAGTGTTCCTTGGGTTCAGTCCTCAATACTGGGGAAAAAAGGCTAAAAGAAACACTGAATTTGTAAATTAATTGGGAATTTTGCCATTTAAAGAATTTTGTCTTCTATTTGACTGTAAGACAAAGATTCCTCAACTACGAACAACTTGCCCTTTTTTTCTTTTTCTTTTTTTTTTGGTGGTACAGAGAATTGAACTCAGGGCCTCAAGCATGCTAGGGAAGTGCTTTACCACTGAGCTACTTCTCCAGCCCTTTGAAGAATTAAATTAAATTTTGAGATAGGGTCTGGCTAAGTTACCTAGCCTGGCTTTGAGTTTTCAACCCTTCTGCCTCAGCCTCCTGTGTAGCTGGGATTACAGGCATGTGCCGCTGTACCAAGCTAGTCCTTGATTTCTAATGTGTAAACCTGGAGTTTTATGTTAATTTTCAAAAACTTCTGGTTTATTTGTATAATTTTCCACCCTAGATATTGGAAATGATGGTATTGATTTCTTTAAGTTTGATGGTCAGTACTAGCTGTACTCTTATGAAATTGGTTTGGAGGAACAGTACTGTTACTTGATTTATAAACTGTACAATGAAGCAGAGTTTATTATGTATTAAAATACAGTACTTAGCTATTGTGGAAAATAATTTGCTAACAAACTGTCATAATCCTGTTGTGTCTTGAAGGTTATTGTTCAGTTCCAGCCTTCCTCAGTGCCCGATGAGTGGGGAACCACACAGGATGGACAGACAAGGCCCAGGGTTGTAAAGCGTGGGGTTGATGACAGCCTTGATGAAATTCCCGATGGTGTGTATAGTTTGTTTAGGAGTGAAGTTTTCTTCACTATTTTAGCATTGTCCTTTAGAATGATGAAAAGAGAAACACAGTTATTAGGATTACGTTGTCATACCGTGCAGAAATCAGGCAGCTTGGCTTGCTTCTGCCTGGCTGCCTGCCTGCCTGCACTCCTCCCCTCCCCTCCCTTCCCCTTCCCCTTCCTCTGTTTCTTTCTCTTTCTGAACTGTGTGTCAGACCCATGGGTGCTCTGACACTGAGCTACATCCCCAGCCTTTTTTGAGACATAGTCTCACTAAATTGCCCAGGTGGATCTTTTTTTTTTGAGGCAGGGTCTTGCTACATAGTTCAGGTTGACCTTGAACTCACTGATCCTCTGGTCTCAGCCTCTTGAGTGCTGGGATAACAGCCATGTGCCACCACACCTGGCTGCCCAGGTGGATTTTTTTTTTTTTGGTACCAGGGATTGAGCTCGGGTCCTTGCCCAGGTGGATTTTGAACTTGGAATCTTCCCACCTCAGTCTCCCTCAGTACTGAGATTATAGGTGTACACCACTATGCCCTGCTAGCACATGTCTTTATTTCTTTCATTTCTTTCTTCCTTTTTTTTTTTTTGGTGATACTAGGGATCAAAGTCAGGTCTTTGCAAATTCTAGGCAAGTGCTCTATTGCTGAACGACATCCTTAGTCCCGTATCTTTCTATTTGATTTTATTACTTTCATATCTTTGTTTTTAAATTTGGAATTTTTTTAAAGATATACAAACCACATAATATAGATTCTAAAATATGAATTGTGGAGAAACACTTTACTGGTTGAAACTAAGCTTTTGGGGTTTTCATGCCTCACTATAGAGTAGTATAGAATATACTATATTCTAGTAAAAGGATTGGCAGACTCTCTGTGAAGAGCCAGACATCAAGCATTTTAGGCTTTGCAGGCATGTGGAGTGTGTTGCAGCTACTGAGCTTTGCCATTGTAGTGTGAGAACAGCTGTAGACTGTAGACAAATGGGTATAGCTGTGTTCCAGTAAAACTGTAGTCATACAAGCAAGTAACTGGATACAGTTTGCCAGCCCCTGTTGTAGTGTATGTGCTTAGGCTTTCCCCTGTAAAATCCATTTCATTTAAGAATGGATTTTATTTGTTTATCTATCTATCTATCTATCTATCTATTTATTTATTTTTGGGTACCAGGGATCAAACTTGGGACTTTGCACTTGGGAGGCAGGTGCCAGAACCACTGAGCTAAACTCCTGGCCCAAAATTCCTTTTTTTTTTTTTTTTGGTACCGAGGGATTGAACTGAGGACCTTGGGCTTGCTGGGCAGGCAGCAGAACCACTGAGCTAAATCCCTGGCCCGATTGGATTTTATTTTAACAATTACTTATAATTCATGTTTGTCTAATAAAATTATAAAGTATATAGGCATTGTAAAGTTTGAATGAAGTACTGTAAAAAATAGATTTAATTTAGAGATGTTTCTGTAGTATTTGTGAATCAAAGGGAAGGGTTTTGGGGAAAGATTTTAAAGTTTTATATTGGCAGTTTGCTTCTCCATGTGGAGAAGCAATTAGTGCTTTGGGGAGATTTTATTTATTTAATTTATTTATTGGTGCAGGGTTTGAACCCAGGGCGTCTCACATGCTGAGCACATCCTGTACTACTGAGCTATACCCCAGTCCCTGCCCTGAAAAGATCACATTATGGAGCCTCCATAGGCACAAAACTGCTGGTTATCATGATGGCAGCCTTTGGGAACAGACTTCCTCCACATCTTGGTCTAGTTGTTGTTACTGGCCTAGAGAGACAAATTGTTCTAATTTGGTAAAGAATAGTAAAATTTACTAGCTCTGGAGGGTCATGAATTTCTTTGGCCAGTTTGTGATAACAAAAGGGATTTTAAGAATTTTTCTTTTTAATTAAGAAAATCTGCTTGAGTGTGGTGGTACACACCTATAATCCCAGGGCTGACTTTGGTTGGGGCAGAAAGATCACAAGTTGGAGTCTCAGCTGGCCAGTTTAGCAAGACTGTGTCTCAAAAATTCTTTTAAAAAAATGACTGGGGAATGTAGGTAAGTGGTAGAGTGCATGCCCTTGGGTTTGATCCCTACTACTATACCCCTCTCCCCACCAAAAAACTTCAAATAAGTTGCTATGTTGTATGTATACATAGTGTATTTTTTTTTTTTTAATAGGAGAAATGCCTCAGATTGACCATCTGGTGTTCATGGTACATGGCATTGGGCCGGTGTGTGACTTGCGCTTTAGAAGCATTATTGAATGTGGTAAGTGTTAGTCTTTTTTTTTTTCTGTACTGGGGATTGAACCCAGGGCCTTCATACAGAGCTATATCCCCAGGTACAGTACAATATTTTTATTTTTTTATTTAGAGACAAGATCTCACTAAGCACTAAGTTGCCCAGATGGTACTCAAACTTTTGATCCTTCTGTCTCATCGTCCAGGAGAGCTAGGATTACTGGTGTGTAACACTGCATCTAGCTCTGTTAGCCATATTTTATTTCATTAAATGATGTAAGAATTTATGGCTCTTAAGTATTCATTTTTAGGACAGTTCCCAATTGTATACAACTTGCTGGGGGCTGTAAGAAGAGATTTATGCGATTAGTTGGAAATACTAATTTGTATTTAATTTATTGTTATGACATTAATAACTCATAAAATCTTAGACTAAAGAATGAGAAGGGATCTTGAAAATAATTTAGCCTTTCTTATAGATAGCCTGTGCTTCCAGGAGCCCAGAGCACCAGTGCAATGAGTTGATTTATAGCGAGAGACTTGTGATGAATTATTTAATAGACTCATGAATCTGCCTGGTTAACTTCTGTTTTTGAAGTTTTATTTTTATATCTGTATAGTAATAGTTCATGTTTACTAAATACTTGGTATGTGCCAAAGACCTTGCATGTATTGTATCATTTAGCCCTCCTAAATACACCTTTGGAGGGTGGGGCATGGTGATGCATGCCTGTAATTTCAGCGCTTGGGAGGCTGAGGCAGGAGGATCATTATGAGTTTGAGGCCAGCCTGGGCTAAATGGCGAGTTCAAAGATAGCCTGAACTACATAGTGAGACCTAGTCTCAAAAAACAAAAACTCCATGAATACATACATACATATATATATATGTATGTGTGTATATATATATATATGTATGTATATACGTATATATATATGTATGTATGTGTGTGTGTGTATTACACACATACCTTTGGTATGTAAGTGCTGTCCCTGTTACTTCCAGTTAGGTGAAGAACTGAGGCCTGTGGTGAACCCCTTCATAGTTAGTAGGTACTGAAGCCAGGATATTACAGCAGATAGTTTGATTCTGGTTTTCTGGTCTTACCCAGTCATTGTGCCATGTCTCTCTTGGTGATGGTAGTTGAACTCATTTTTCCAGGAATTTGTACATTCCTCTAAAATAGTGAAAAGCTAAAAAGAGCTTCTTAAAGGTTTATTTATTTTTACTAATTTTTTATCAATATTAGAAACTATATATTATAAAAAATACTAGCATATTTAAGGTAATTGCTAACTAGCTGTCAAACTGGGACAGTTTAACCAATTTAATTTATCTTCCTTGATTTTTTTTTTTAAGTGGATGATTTTAGGGCGGTTTCTCTCAAATTGCTGCAGACACATTTCAAGAAGTCTTTAGAGGATGGGAAAATAAGCAGAGCCGAGTTCCTTCCTGTCCCCTGGCACAGTGCCTTGGGTGGGGGTGCCACCGGTGTTGACAGGTTTGTAGATTGTGATAGTTTGTTTTTCAGATTAGTTAAATTTAAATTCAGAATTTGAACCATGCTATGAAGTAGTCATTATGACTTCAGCAAATATTTAAAAAAAATTATATACTTGCTCTGACATGATTAAATATGGATTGTACCTTTTACATGCTGTGTTTCTCTTTGTGTGTGTATTTATTCCTATTGTAAATACTTAAAAGAGTTTAAGAAATTTTAATTGGCTTTATTAATTAATTTTGGTGCTGGAGATTGAACCTAGGTCTTTAAGAATGCTAAGCACAATTCTACCACTGGAATACACCCTGAGCCCCTAAGCTTGCTTTAAAAAACTGCTCTAATGTATGACATACACTCTACCCCAGCAGTTTTACTACAGGGCTGTCCTTTATATTTTAGGATGCTAAGCAGCATCCTGGCTAGATAACAGCAACATGCTCATCTCTTACCATTGTTGATCAAAAATGTTTCCAGAAATTTCCAGATGTCCCTTGGAATTAAAATCACTCCTGGTCGAGAAAACACTGATTTGGATTTTCTGTTTTTAAGTGGAAAACCCATATGACAGCACAATTCTTTATTGCACAAAACTGTTATGTTACAGCCATTTAGCAACCTTGGTCTAAATGCCATTAAATGGTAGCAGTGCTCACAAATAAAATATCGCACTCAATTTTGAATTACTCCCATTTGAGAACTACAAATACAAATAACATTTGTGCTGGCACACAGGCTAATAACATGTCTGGATTTTAGTGAACATCATAATGTTTCAGGCACATAGTTTAATAAAACTTAATCCTACAAACAGCATTCTATTTATGTTAGGCTCTGTTACAAGGATATTTCTCTTAGTAGGTATTCATGAACTTCACTTTGATCATTTTCGAGTCAAGAAAAGTTTTCATTCAGTGTAATTTCTTTCTTACTCTCTTCTGTCCGTTCCTTCCATAATTTTTATCAGGTATCCAGATTTCTGTTTAATTGGGAGAAAAATGGATGAGTAGACTTTTCTCCTTAAAAATGAAATTAAAGTCTTTGCCTATGACATATTTCACATAGCAACTCTTCAGAGAATCCCAGAATTTATAATACAGTTATGGGTAGAAATAACTTTTTTCCTTGACTTGGTTTATTTTATAATAGCTCTGCCTACTGAATCAACATATAATTACTCTGTGATATTTGTATGTTGATCAGCTAATTGATTTAGATATATGTACTTAGTTTATACATTTACTGTATACATTTTCAGAAATAAAAATCCAAACTTTTATAAAAATCCACAGATCGACGATAGATACTGACTGAAGATCTTTTTTTTCCCCTTTTTAACAGGAATATTAAGAAAATCACTTTGCCAAGTATTGGTCGGTTTCGTCACTTTACCAATGAAACTTTGCTAGATATTTTATTTTATAATAGCCCCACCTACTGTCAGGCAATTGTGGAGAAAGTGGGACTAGAGATGAACCGTCTACATGCACTCTTTTTGAGTCGGAACCCAGACTTCAAGGGAAGGGTCTCTGTTGCTGGTCACAGTTTAGGTAAAACTGTCAAATACAACACATTTGATTTTGTTTTTTAACTTTACTTTTCTTTGGTTTCTCTTTTAGAGACAGGGACTCACTGTGTAGTCCAGGCTGGCCTTTAAGTGCCTATATGTACCAGGCTGGCTATGAGCTCACAGTGATCCTCTAGCCTCAGGCTCTGGAGTGCTGGGATTACAGGCATGCACCACCACACTTGGCACATTTGAAGGAAACCTTTGTTATCACTGCCTTTAGTTTAAGTAATCTTGATATACATAATTTGGAATTACAAATGTTAAGTTTTGTAAAGGGCAGAAATGATTGCTTTGAATTTAGATTGTGCCTTTGCCCTTTACATTAGGATTACATGGAAATACTATATATTTGATTTTGCTGTTTGACAAAACATGATTATTGGTTATCAGGTCTTAACTTTTTTTTTTTTTTTTGGCAGTGCTAGGGATTGAGCTCAGGTACTTTGCACTGAGCTACATCCCCATCCTTTTTTTTTTTAATTTTTAATTTTGAGATAGGGTCTTGCTAAGGTGCCAAGTTGCTCAGGATGGGCTTGAGCTTTCAATCCTTTTGCCTTAGCCTCCCAGAGTGCTGGGATTACAGGTATATGCCACCATGCCAGACATCTTATTTTTGTTATGATTTCTCCTTAGGGGCTTTTTTACAAAGTAGGAGAATTCACTTTGTGTTGTAAAAGCACCTAGTAAGTACATTAAAAAACAAAATATTTCTCTTTCTTAGGTTCTTTAATACTGTTTGACATCCTGTCTAATCAAAAAGATTTGAATTTTTCGAAGTCTCCTGGGCCTCTTGCTGTTGCTAATGGAGTTGTGAAGCAGCCTCAGTTTCAGGAGAAGCAGGTTTGTCTGCACTCATCCCTTTTAACATTTAGATATAGAGATGGAGGGGGTGGGGATGTAGCTTAGTGGTGCTGTGCCTGGCTCACAAGCTCAAGGTCCTGAGATCGGTCCCTGGTACCAAAAAAACTGCCAGTAGTTATAGAGATGGAGCTGAACTATTTTCTAAAACCTGAACTATTTTCTGAAACTTTCTATTTT